GGGGGGGGGGGGGGGGGGTATACATATAGTATTCATAACGAATTGCACGTTGCTCATATACGTTAATTTAACTTAAATTAACTTTTAACGTTCCTTTCACATAATATATCCCACATATTATACTCAAACCACACTACTTAGAAATAAATTTGGAGAATGAGCTACGTATGATTACGATTAATTTGAAACGTTAAAGTAAAAATGTTTATACGGTATCCTCTTACTACAAAGCATATCAGCGTGCTTCAACATTTTTTTATCTTATACAAAACTTACGAATAACGTATTCGACGTATGGCAGCGTATTTGACAAATTTTTCATGCGCTGAGTTACGCTTGATTTAATCGCCTTTGTATATTGACCGGGAGATTAGAATGTTAGCTACAAACCTCTATACAGATTCTAGCCATTTTATGACTCTACAAAGATAATAATTACAACGTCAATGTTAATAACCTGAAATCTCTTTCTTGCAACATATTCTAATCCATATCAATTCCCATTGTCATTTGTATCTAACTTCTAATCTTATTGGTAACTTGTTTATTTCGACTAACTACTCACCATTTAGTATTTATTGTCAATATCCATGGCTATTTCCCTCGCTTGACATAAAGATATGCTTATTATAGCCTTCGAAAATATAATTGTTCTAAATGTTCTGAGCAAGATGTTGGTTCACGATTATTACATGTTGCATTGGTTTTATTGTTTTCTAGTTCGCGAGTTCAGCAGACAAAATCATTATCTAAGGAAGCTTTTTATTTATAACGACCATAATATAACGTCTACTGGTTTCTGGTAAATAATCAGTATGTCGGTAGTAATAAATGTTTTGAAAATATTCTTCTTTGGAACTTGTTACAGTTCAAATCATTTGAGACAGAAAATGCGACTATCGATGGATTATATTGAAAATAAAAGCCCTTGAGGATACAGACACGCAAATCCCATTTTTATCAAAATCTTAAACTTTAGAACCGTCTTGACAAGTCGATATTTTTGTATAAAATCAATTCACTAAAATGTCCATGTTTCATTTTACCTACTGCTTTGCGATACATGTCCATAGAAATACATTTATTAGAGAGATGGGGCGCAAAGGTAACTAACTAGTGATAACACTCGGTCATAATTTGCGAAACTCCATGCAACTATTAACTGATGGGTTTACAGTACAGTTGGCTCTTACAGCTGACATATCTTTGAAACGTCTTAAATTTGTCTCACTATAGCGAACATTGGAACCCCTAAAACCACGTGATGATTACACACTACAAAAAGTTGACTTGGCGTGACGGTGCAAATAGCCAGTGCGTTTGTCTTATTTCGAAATACAGATTCGTGACGATTCGTATATGCCTGGTAGATGTACATGGTATACGTATTTAAATGCTTAATAGACGTAATGAATATGTTAACACGGAAAATCGTCAGGCCCTTTTGGCCAAGACGATAAAAAGCTTGCACCATTCAATAATTGAAAGCATAAGGAAAATGGAACAAGCGGTCACCAGGTTTTATTCCTCTTCAAGATACGTAATTTGATTAATTAATTTAGACTCGGTTAACGTGATTTAAACTACAATCAATTGACAGTAACTACGACATACTCTAGACTCTCGTGACAGAATATATTAATTGCTTCATCCTTATTTATACTGGAATTGATTACAGTTACTGAAGTCGTGATGTGTGTTGAGTCAAAACAGATTAAGATAATCCTTAAAAAACACGAATTCCACAAAATTGATAACGCTCTTGGATGAATACTATCACATTTCAGCTGTCTATGGTTCTTTAATTTTGAAACCATCTTGAAACATATTGGTATATGTGTTGTATCCCACGCAATAAAACAACATTCTAGCTGCCCAACATTTTTTGATATATCAACGCACGAATCTATTCCTATAGCTTTAGCTTAAGACAAATCGGTTGATGTTTTGTAAGACTTTAAGCTATAATGCAAATTGATAAAAGGAAAAGGTTCATACTAGCCTTTATTTGCATCACTTTTGGAATTTGACAATGCTTTCTTACATGACAATATTTTCATGTACTAAGTTCGAATAGAGGTTTTTTTTTAATTCAAATTTATAAAATGGTACGGACAGCAGTGAAAAAAGGCGTATAATGAAATAAAAAACTTACCATTGACAAACGCTGGAATGACCATCATAACCAGTATCTGATGTAAAAGTGCCATCTTCAACAAATTTGTTTTTCTCCTTAATCGTTTCCAACAAGTATTATATCTTCGTGATGTATCGATATCAAGATAACATGCTGGTTTCTACTCATGTAAGGATCGGTTTAAGAAAATGCGTTACTTTGAAGTATTCCAATTTCATTTAAATTAGACTCTTGTTTCATTGACTTCACGACTCTGTCTAATATCTGTGGTTCGTCAGAAGAAAAATTGGAAGATGAACATTCACGCTGCTTGAACTATCTCTGGTTTTAGATCGATTAATATATATATATATATATATATATATATACCTAATATTACTTGGTAACATTTGGAATATTTCAACAGTAAAATACGAGATAAAATTAAGGAAGCCGTCAGATGAAAAGTAGATTTTAACAAAGTTTAATCCTTGTATTAATGACAGTAACTTTATGGACAGTTTTGTTGAAGCAGTACAAGCATTATTCAAAAAATAACCTTTAAAACAGTTTTAAATGTTTTAAGGGAAATTATGATTTTTTAGTAGGTTGGGAAAGTTAGGTGCTAAAATTGATGAGAACCGTACAACAAAATCAAAAGTTTAACCTATTACGGTCATCATAATTGTAAAAAATGAGGGCAAAAAATACATTCATTCGAGCGTAGAGTGAACTAAAAGTCGATAAAGTTAACATTTGGTCATACTTCAGTTTAAGTTTGATACAGTTGTCGATTATTTTAATTTGATCTAGATCCTACGTTTTTATTACATAGACAAAATCATATACATATAAACATATATGACAGAAAAATTAATTCATATTTCAGGGAGTTGTTTTACCTTCAGAATTTTTTCAAATGTTCAAATTCATATTTACTATGTATTTCGCGATGCTATTTAAAAAGAAAGCTGTGTTTTTTAAACATCTTTCTTCGAACTGAAATATCCTGACTACTGATTTGCTGTTTTTCATATAATAAATTATTTCAGACAGAATGGATACACGAGATGTATAAAATTAATTAAATTGTTTATACCATCAGAACAAAACTATGAATGAAGGTAGTTCGTAAATACGTTCAAACGCTTTAGACTTGAAGTACAGTCTATGTTTAAACACAGTTGTGGTCATTTGTTTCATTCCTTCAGATAATATTGATAAAGAACTATTAATATATACAGTGAAGGCGGCGATCCTGAGAGAAATAATTTTAAAGTTGAGAATGATATATCGGGTGAATGTAAGACCTAAACTCCATATACCATTAACTAGAAAAGCAATGAGCAAGAAGCAAATTTGAATAATTGAAGATTTATTGCTTCGTACACATTAAAGCACGTCTACAGGTTCATAAAGATACAATAAACATACTAATATAATCAATAATATAAGGATATTAATATACATTCGTAATTAAAATTATGTTCTCTTAAATACAAAATAAATTCATAATATTTCTTGTTTAATGATAACGTTTCATAGCTAAATTTGCATTGAATGCACCAATAATTGTATATTGTAACTAAGCCTGTAGCTGAAAAAAACATATTTAGCCCCACCTCAACCCATAGAAAATGTGATCGATAACGTAATTATTATAGTCTACAGGCGCAGTCATTGTGATGATGGCTGCCGGCGAGTCTAGTATAGTACATGGGTCGGTTTGTACAGTTAACAACTAGTTAGTTGATTGTTGGTAGAAGGATCTAGATCAATTTAATCGATTGGTGCTGTTGGTCGAATTATGTGGCGGCGAATCCCCTGTTTTTAATATTAGTCTCTAATGGTAAAATTTGGTTTGGTTTAGTTTGAATGAGAAAATTCGACCTGTGGCGATGTGGTAGTGGCGACATTTAATGGCATTGAAGTGGTCTGGTAGGACGTTGTTGGTGCGTAGTCTGGTTGCCGGTTTGCAGATGGCTTCAGATTGATGAAGTGGTTTGTTTCAATTTATTTTCTCCGGGGTTAGATTTCCCCCAGACTCAGAATTTCCTTGGCACAACGAACTAAATGCACTTGATCATTCCCCTTGGATGTGGATGTGATAGGATCCAAAATGGTTCAATCTGGAGGTTTTTGTTGATTTAGTAGTTGAGGCCATATTTCAGCTAGGACTTCTGATTTTTAGAAATATATTGAAGACTTCTTAGATTACGTCATGTGGCGTGCAAAACAGGGATAGACAAGCTGCTGCGTCCTTGAAGACAAGAAGTTCCGCTGAATTGGAGTCATCCTGTTTCTCCATTACTTGAACTGTAACCTTAGTAGTCGGTAAATTGACTGGTCATGCAAAACGGCTGACATGAGAAAAACCATGTGCCTTTAGGTAGGACAGTATTTGCCAGTCGGAGCCGAATAAAAGTCAACGAGCGAGCTCTGTAAGCCCAGATAAATGTCTCTCTTGTTTTTGATTTTTCCCCTACAGAATACTATCCCAATGTAATCGTGTAAAAAATAAACCAGAATTTCAACAATTATTCCGTGTCTCGGTTTGAAAAATCAAACCATTTATCCCAAGAATAAAGTTAGTCTCATTGGTATGCAACAAGAATTTCTATCAATCTCATTAATTTCGTTTCAATCATGGCGAAATTATAGTGAGTGAAATTTTCAAATTAGGATTAGAGCTTATAATATTCTTTTTAAGTTTCAAAGAAGATGATATACAGGTGTCGGGAGGGAACTAGAGATATCTTAAATTTCAAACCGGGGCTGCTGGCTTAACCTGTCAGACTGTCAATCGATTCTTTTACAAAGTGGATTTCCTCACGACCTTGGAAATGTTGAATTTGTCAGTGGAGATGACAAAAGATAGGTACAGAACTTATTCAAAGACTAGTTGAAAACTGTGAAAATTTTCGTTATCGGTTTCATTGGATATAATAAAGTCTATTAACTTAAATTTATTGTTCAGCTGGTGAGTGTAAATTCAAAAACACTAATAGCTTAAATACAATGTTTTAAACTGTCAAAGGGTACTTAAAACCACTGATTTAGGCGCGAAACAATTATCATGTTTTACAAATTATAACTTGAACATCTATCATCGATAGAAAAATAATACTATTAGTAAGTAATAAAAGTATTTTATTGTAAATTTATTGATAGTAGTTAAACGTAAACACAACATCATGGGTAACAACATAATAAAATATTCAATCTGGTTAATTCTATCAGTTAGTCTCTGTTACTCATGATGAATGACTATCACTTGTATGCGAGATTTGCTGTTCTGTACTACCGGCAATGACCGTTGAATTAGTTTTACTTGTCGAATTAGTTTTCCTTATTGGGGTTAATCGAACTAAGTGGGCCTTCCACAGGCGTAAAACGTTTCGATTAACCGTAAACGCTACAAAGAGGAAAACCCCTTGAGAGCCATTTAAAATAATGGATAGGTATTCTAGAATGGTGCTGTTAAATGTTTCAGCTAATAAAGCTACAATCCAGAATAATCCCGTAACAACTGATAATTTTAAATAGATATAAACATTATTGCGCTCACCACCAGTTTGTCGTCCCATTATCTGAACACGCTGTATAGATATTATAGTAAATGTAAAAAATATAATATTACTGATAATGATCAATATAAGAGGAATGACGAATGAATATAAAATAAGTTCTTTTGAAGTCAAATAACAAACAACACCACCATACCCTATTTCTGATCCGCCGGACATTTGCAGGTTAGCAATGATAGTAAATATTACAATAAGTCCAGGGAAACCATTTGCATATACAGTATATTTCACAATATGTTTCAAATGTCCCTCAGATGGACTTTTGGTTAAATTTTGAAGAACAAACACTTTGAACATATGAAAGGAACAGACATGCATCCAAAATATCGAGGTAAGCCAAAGGTAATGAATAATGATTCCAATGGCTTTACATTATGTTGGATTTTTAATACTTATACCACTAATTAACGTAAACTGGGCTAAAAATAATGATGCAATCAAAATCATGTTAGTTTTACCAGGCAACGTCCGAAGTTCAGGTTTGGATAAGAAGGTCATAAAGGATATAGCAAGACAAACAAGTGATGATGTTATACAAGCAACATTTAAATACCAAGATAACAGATCTTCTAGTTTCTCTTCTTCAACAATATACAACAAACTGTTATTCAGGAATTCTGTATCTAGTTTTACAATGATATCATTGACACATACAACAAGTTTCTGTTGAAAATTAACATGATATTGGTTTGACTCTAGAGAGATATTAAGGTGAGGAATATACGCTGTAAGGTAGTCCACTACATATTCAGATGATTCGAAATGAATATAGGGACACATTAATTGTTCACTGATGAATGTATATTTATCTTCAGTAACCGGTGAAGCTGTTGCAAGTTCTATGCAACAGAGGTCTACATTGCTATCAAGCTGGTAGAATCGTTCAAAACTGATATTTTTAGGCAGATTATTAACATATGAATAACCAATATCAACACCACCAATATATTCAGTTACCTTCACAAATTTATCAATATCCCTTTGTAGTTGGAATAGTTCTACCGATTGGCTCACTTGAAACCAACATCTGACATTAAGGAATTTTAAATTTTCATTCGCCCAACCGTTCCAGTATAATTGCCTACTTGGTGTTGAAACACGTAATGAATAATTCTTAGAATGAAGACCCTGGGATACATACGAGAATGAATTTCCAATAATTTGATCCCATAGCTGATCTGCTATATTCAGTGGTCCTTTAAGAATCATTAATCGTATGTTGATGATAAAATACTTCATATTACTATCTATCGTGGAAACTGGACAGGTTTTATTTACTATCTTGGCATCTTCAAAACATAAAATTCTTCTACATTTTAACTGAAAGACAATCGTATGATATAAAAATTACCTATACGACATGTCCATAACATTGAGGTCATATATACTGTGTCACACTTAAATCGAGGGAATACGTAGTATTAACATTTTTGATTTCATGGTTGTGTATGAAAGAGAGAAAATAGGCACAGTTTAATCAGTGAAACATTAGTTATAATTTCCGGCGATTTCTGTTCAAACGAATTGTGACAAACCTTAAAGGAAAAACAAAGTTTACTTACTGCTATAGTATCCATCCACTCTTCATCTTGAATACATTTCAATATTTTGTTATCTGGAGAAAATGTTTCTGAGAATCTCGTTAGAGCTCTTAATGGGTTATACCCTTCACTCTTTACTGAAGATACAGCACCACCATTACACATATAACAATATATATTCTGATAGACATTACCCACATCATCATATACAGGGTAGTAATACGAATCACATGAATCTTGATCCGTTTGTGACCCTTCAGAACAATTAGAAATGGGTACAATAGATCTTAAATAATCACAGACTCTCAAGGATATGTTATCAGGAGGGTAGATAATTGTTGCCATTTGATCTGAACGTAAAGTCCAAGGTATGAGATACCGTTCATTGTTTTTGATGGCACATTCAATATTACTGTATGTTCTTCCTGTAATGTTTGATGTGACAGGTTCAATTCTTTTATTACATTTTTTTCTATTTGTACCTTGTTGGTAACTAGTTGTCATGTAGTAGCCATACTCAATATGTAACTCATAAAATCTATATACATTTTCATTTTGAGCAACACAGGAAAATTCAGGATTTGGTTCAGATGTGTGAAGATGAAATTTCTGTGCAACATCTATACAACAATCTCCATATATCATACAACCTTTATCACAATAACACTTCACACAATGTGGAATAGTCATGAGGCCTTTTTCTGGATTGTGTATACATTCTCTACACATGTTCATTCCACCGGTGGAGTGGAGGACGTCTAATACAGAACTTACAACTGGGCATATAAATATATTGAAGTGTATTATCTGAAATATCAAAATACTTAGTGTTATGTTTTATAATGAGGGTGATTAAAATAAATGCCCTTTTGCCCGAATTATTCGATTAGTTTGGTTGTAGACAACATAAAAAATAATGGTTATTTTTATACGCCCACTTGAATATATGGTCGTATATTGTCGTCGCCCCTGTCCGTCGGTCCGTCCGTCAACATTTCTTGTGAGCACTATAGAGACTACAGTTTTTATCTGATTATGATAAAACTTGGTGTGATGCTTTAGATTGATAAGATCTCGGACAAGTTCGAATTTGACATATTTTCGATGAACGGTTTTTGAGATATTGCCCTTGACTTAGAACGCCGATTCTGATGAAACTTGGTGTGATCTTTGGAATTAATAAGATCTCGGACAAGTTCTAACTTTACGCATTTTCGATGAACGGTTTTTGAGTTATTGCCCTTGACTTTGTTAAAACGCGTTGAAATTTGTTAAAAATAGTTCGTGAGCAGGATGGAAGCTACAGTTTTAAACCGATTCTGATGAAACTTGGTGTGATCATTGGAATTGATAAGATCTCGGACAAGTTCTAACTTGACGCATGTCTGATGAACGGTTTTTGAGTTATTGCCCTTGACTTTGTTAAAACGTGTTGAAATTTGTTAAAAATAGTTTGTGAGCAGGATTGACGCTACAGTTTTCAACCGATTCTGATGAAACTTGGTGTAATCATTGGAATTGATAAGATCTCGGACAAGTTCTAATTTGACGCATTTTCAATGAACGGTTTTGGAGTTATTGCCCTTGACTTTGTAAAAACGCGTCAAAATTGTTAAAAATAGTTCGTGAGCAGGATTGAAGCTACAGTTTTCAACCGATTCTGATGAAACTTGGTGTGATCATTGGAATTGATAAGATCTCGGACAAGTTCTAACTTGACGCATGTCTGATGAACGGTTTTTGAGTTATTGCCCTTGACTTTGTTAAAACGTGTTGAAATTTGTTAAAAATAGTTTGTGAGCAGGATTGACGCTACAGTTTTCAACAGATTCTGATGAAACTTGGTGTGATCATTGGAATTGATAAGATCTCGGACAAGTTCTAATTTGACGCATTTTCAATGAACGGTTTTTGTGTTATTGCCCTTGACTTTGTAAAAACGCGTCAAAATTTGTTAAAAATAGTTCGTGAGCAGGATTGAAGCTTCAGTTTTCAACTGATTCTGATGAAACTTGGTGTGATCATTGGATTTGATAAGATCTCGGACAAGTTCTAACTTGACGCATTTTCGATGAACGGTTTTTGAGTTATTGCCCTTGACTTTGTTAAAATGCGTCGAAATTTGTTAAAAATAGTTTGTGAGCAGGATTGACGCTACAGTTTTCAACCAATTCTGATGAAACTTGTTGTGATCATTGGAATTGATAAGATCTCGGACAAGTTCTAACTTGATACATTTTTGATGAACGGTGTTCGAGTTATTGCCCTTGACTTTGTAAAAACGCGTCAAAATTTGTTCGTGAGCACAACAGAAGCTACAGTTTTCAACCGATTCTGATGAAACTTGGTGTGATCATTGAAATTGATAAGATCTCGGACAAGTTCTAACTTGACGCATGTCTGATGAAATGTTTTTGAGTTAATGCCATTAACTTACGAAAAACGCGTCAAAATTTGTTTTTTGCCCTTGATTAGAGCTGTATGATTTAATTGTTTGTTGTATTTGGGTTTTTGATATTGATTTTAAAAAATTTAGTGGAAATATTCAGCATACATAATTTCTTTAATATGAGAAAATTCATACTTAAGTCACTAAAGTCACTTTTATCATTTCTGACAGCTGCCAGTGGGCGTATGTTACCTTGCAACGCAAGCTATCTTTATATTTTTATGTTGGGGTAATGCAAAATGCCACAATGTCAATGCAGCATAACGATACTAGATTAATGATAGCCAAAATATATCGACCCTTAGCCTATATATGCAGTAAAACCTATACGCAGTTCTACATAAATTTGAACATGGTGCCGGTACAGATTCAAACCTTCGTCTCTCATCTTTTTTTTTCTCAGCCTATGATATCTATACCTCTTAGGATGACCAAAAAAATTGAAATTTTTAAACCTGGTTGTAATGAGTCCAGTTTGAAACTTGAAATTCTATGTCCAATTTAAGAAGTAGTATTCCTTTAACTATATTGTATTCCTTTGTATACGTCAACATGAAAAAGGGGCTTTATTGGCGTCCGTCCGTCCAAAATTGAAAAATGTTTAGTAGCCTATGAGTTATTGCCCCTGTTCTTGGAAACGCGTTCAATTTTTAGCTTGTAAACACTCCAGACGGCACAAATATGTCGGATTTTGACGAAACTTGTTGAAATTGTTTATTATCAACCATTGATGATGCTCTCTAATGAAAGTCAGAAAATCAAAAAATATTTTAAATGACCTCTCTCTTGAAAACTCGTTCAATATTTACAATATTTAGCTTATTCTTACTGAATTTTGACACAACCTGGTAATATTCATCAGTATGACCTCAAAACGTTCGAAAGAAGTGTATGACTGAAGGTCGAATATTTCATATACTCATGTTTTTTACTTTTAGTACTGCCAAATATTTTTATTCGACCTGCCAGTGGCCCGGTGGTCGTACATGACAAGCTATCTTTGCATTTACAATTGTCAACATTTCATTATATTGCTGCAACATCTCGGATAAAAGGAAGAGGGACGAAGTCCGTCTATATTATTTACTTACCTTTTGAAGTAAATCCATATCGAATGATGTGGCAGTCGACTGAAATATATCCTATATATAGGTGTAAACTATTAATGTCATTATTTTTCAATCATTTCGACTAATTGTGTTTCACTTAATGTGTAGGTATAGGATATAAAAAAAGTAGATTCATTAACTGAAAATAAATCATTATTGATTTTATTGAATCATCTTCATAAGCTACATTTGATTAAATCAACTACAGGTATATCAGAAAAAGTAATAAGATTGCTGTAAAGTCTTTCCTCTCGGCACCCCTTTCGGAGAGTACTTCGGAGAGAATACTTATAGGCCGATGACTCTACTTGTGTTCAAGTCCAAAGGCTTTAATTAATTCGATTTCCTTTAAAATACTAAAATAATGTTAAGTTAATGTCGCGGTTGTTGCTAGCGAGGCATACTATGATCATCCTTTTGGAACACCTGATGCTACTTTTCGACTGGGTTGGTCAAATCGACATCCCTTTCGGAGAATCCACATACCTGATACTGTTTAATAAGTCTTTTTTTATATTGCTGAATATGTTCCTTGAAAATCATTAGGTCAGAAAGAATGAAATTCAAATTTAGCGCCGTATTCGCCTTAATTTTTCAATTAAAATTTTCATTTCATATTGCTGCAATTGAATTCGAAGGTATTTTAAAATGAATATTTCCTGATTATCACTATTTCATCACCTACTTTGCTTTGTTGAGAATTTCATATATCTGTAAAATGATATCTAATATGCAATGGTACCAAATAGTTTTAACTGAAACCATACCATACCAAAGTGACTTTTGTTATCTTGGAAGAGGAGAAATATGGCTAACATAATCTTAAAATGACAGATAGAATTTCTAACAATCTCGGATTGATAGCCACTTTGTTTATAAGAGCAGCATCATTTCTCATTTTCTCTGGAGTATAGTTTCAATAGTAATAATCTTATTAGGGCACCTTCACTGCTACATTAGGCTATACTTGTTTCAGAAATGTAGTTACATCGCCAGAAGAGCTGTTGACTACATTAGTCTCGAAATGACAGCTTCTGCAAATATTTCAAAGGGATAACTACATAGTTTATTATCTCAAAATTTGAATCATCACGGAGGGATTTAGGCATACAGCTTAGCTCTACGTTTACACAATGTTCCCGCCGGACACGGCAGTTATGTTTACCCGAAACGTTTTGCGCCCTGGTTTTTTACTATCCGTGTCAGACAGTAGCAGAACTCAATATCATAATGCTTCGGCCTGCAAACAAAGCGGGACGCACCGTAACGGCTTTCGTTCACCCTAGCTTGACGTGAGAACCGTGACTAAAAAGAACACAACGTGGAAAGGAACTTCAGATGCCTGGGAATACATACGATTCCCGTCCAACTCTTCCATTTTTGTAACGGTCTATTACGCACAATTGTCACAAGTTTCTATTATGTTTCTCATCACCACCGAGGCAAATTAAAATTCTGGGCTGACATCCACGCCAATTACAGTCAGCGTTTACTCACGTTCATCCGCAGTTGCATTGAGACAAAAATGGCCAAAATTCAGTAGTATATGTCTTTTCGGATATGACGCATTTCACTTCTGCGCATGCGCAGCTTTTTCAATGCGTCATATCCGAAAAGACACAACTGTTAAAATGTATTATAACAGACTCCTCAAACTGTTAAAAAATGTATTATAACAGATTCCTCCAAACTGTATTTTAACAGACTCCATATAAATTACCCAACCACACACAAGATTCACTAAAATAATACAGTATAAAATAACCGCATTAAAAAAAAAGATGTCTTTAATTTTAAAACACGAACAAAAAAAATTTGAAGGAGACGGTTTCTTCTCTGCGCTATCACCTCTCATCCCCTAAGTGGCCAACTTTGTCCCAAACAATAAATTTCCTCAGGAGTAGATGCAGTGAAAAGATCTAACGAGTTGAAATAATTACAACATATAAGAAAAATGCGAAATAAAAATTATTGGATAAAAACCTCAACTGATTAATGGGAGGTAACACTGTTTTTTGTTTATACACAGTCTAGAGTATTATTGATTTAATAAATACCTTTAATGCCTAGTAACAATCACTCCTCTATTGTTGACTGGATATATGTCACGCTATAATTAACATATCACGCGGGCAACGTCAGCACAGACAGTCTAGACTCTCAACTGTTAGCAGTGTCTCAATTTTTGTTGAAGATTAGGAATTTAACCATACAAAAATCAAGGTATGTTCTTTTTTGTTTGATTTAATCATAAGACGACAGGGTGGAATTAAGATTAACTTGCTGTTTTTTTTTTCAAAAATATCAATTTTTGTTTTATTCCAGTTTAATAGATGCCAACATTTCATATCACGAAGAATATTTAAACCATCGGTAAGGGGATAGAAAAAGGCCAAGAATTTTTACCAAACTCTTATTAGGATCGCTCGTGACATTTCATAAAGTGATTTATTTCTATCGCTTGAATAGTTTTCTCCTTGTATTAAATCTTTCGTATTAAAAATATATGGTGTTTATTTCATTATTGAACAAATATGTCTTTAATAAATGTCCACCCTCCTAAATTATACAGGTCCAGGCACTAGGTTAGATCTACGATTGGACGAAAATGATAATCCCAAACCAGGGGAAGAACCCGTTAATAGAGTTGACGCAGCAACGCCCAAACACGACATACTGTACAGAAACAAAGACATAACATTCAGACACCAAGCAGACAAACAAATGATAGACGAACTCGAAAGTATTCCCTATCCCACTTTCAAAGAGAAATTACAGAGGGCTCTTATCATAAAACTCTTGAAGGCAAAATTGAAATTGGGTATGGGCATAGCAGACGAGATTCACAAAGAATTTCGAAAAAACAAACATTACTTCAAAGTCAAAGTTTTTGATAAAGATGAAATTTGGTCAGCCGATTTAATCAACATGCCAGTCGAGAGAGGGTACAAGTATTGTTTGACGGTGATCAACATATACACGAGATACGCTTGGGTCTTTCCCTTGAAAAACAAATCGGGTCTGACTGTCAAACAAGCATTCGAAACCATAATGAAACAATCCGACAGACGACCCCTAAAGTTGTGAAAGAAATGTGAAATCTCTGGGGTTTGAAATTTACAGCACGCATAACGAAGGTAAGACCGTAGTGATAGAAAGATTCAACAGGACTCTTAAAAGCAAATTATTCGAGAAATTCACGTAATTGAAATCTCAAAAATAGCTTAAAATATTACCAGTTGTTGTCGACGAATACAATAACAAAATACATTCGTCTATAGGTGTGACGCCAACGCAAGCCTCTAATAACCCGAATAACATAAAGTCCGTCAACACTCGAAACAACTTTGAAAACGAGATTAGCAATTTGAATATTAAACCCAAATTCAAAGTTGGAGATCGAGTTCGTATTTTTAAATATAAATCATTGTTTCAGAAAGGTTACGTCGGGTATTGGACTAACGAGATATGCATCGTTGATAAAGTAAATAGCACATCACCTCCCACGTATGAATTGATCGATCAAGACAAAGAACAAATCATAGGAAGGTTTTATCAAAATGAACTTCAAAAAACTGACTTTTAAAAATGAATCTCGAAAATGAAGATTTAGATGAAAGGTTAAGAAATTTAGATGTCGACAAGCACTTTCCTAAATTAAGATTTTTTAAATTTAAATGTAAATTTATCTTCAAAATATTATTGAATGTGTTTTATCAGAATGTTATACAAGTTTTTTCAAAAAAAAAACTACGTATATATTTCGTCAGTTGGGTCTTCAGCAATACTTACCGCCTACTTCGAAAAACACCTCAAAAAAATCAACTTAAAAAATGAATGCATTTCTCGATAAATACGGAAAAGACACGACCACAAATTTTCAACTTGTGAAATGGGCCAAGGAGTTGAACGTATCGCCGTTTTATTATTGCATGCGAGATGAAATTGATGAACTGAAATACAAGAAAGGTAAATTTTACGCGATCTCAAACATTCATACGTCGGATCAAAAAGGAGTTCAACACTCTGCTTTACACAAAGATTCTTCGAATAACTTTTATTTCTTTGATTCTTTCGGTCTAGAACCGACAGAAGAGATAACGAAATTGACTAGCAAACCAATCAAATGTTCTACGTTTCAAATTCAAATGCCAGGACAAAAGCTGTGTGGACAGCTGTCGCTTTGGGTTTTATATCGGTTGAGTTTGGGAGAAAAGTTTGAAGAAATTATAATAAATTTAACTCAATAAAAATGGCAAACAAGTTTGGATTAGGGTCTTTACCTCTAGAATCTAAAAATCCCATGACGGCGTTTATAAACAAAGCGAAACCTTTTTTCGTGGATTAAATCGGAGACACCTTACAAGGGGATATCGATATGAACAATTTCAAAATAACTAATTTAAAGTTTCCAGGAAACGATAACGATGCCGTGAACAAGAAATATTTACTGGATCAAATTCAAATAGATAAGGACCATGTTGAAAACAGAATAACTGACGTGAAAAGATACCTCAGACGAAATATTAAAAATCTTGTGGACGAAACCAAACTACAACAAGAGTTAACGAGTTTGAAACGTTTTATTCAAGTGGATAAAACAAGTCAGTTGCAAAATTTAATATTTAAATTAGACGATAAGATTACGAAGGTAAAAATAGACGTCCAACGTTTAATAGATAACCCAAATGTAAACGAGGATAGATTGAAACGAAAACTAACCGCTTTGGAAAGAAAACTTGGCGAATTGCTAGCAGAACTAGACAAGACCGTGGACAAAACCGAGTTACAAAATTCGATATCGAATTTGAACGAAAAGATCGCGAAGCAAAAATTAGATGTTCAAGATATAATTAACACAATAATTGACAAAGATACGTTTAAACGACAATTGACTGCTTTGGATACTTAAATCACGGACGAATTAGAAAAAGAAGTGGGTGTGATTAAAAACTTTCTTCAAAATAAATTTCGAGATGATATGAAAAATTATATTAAAGAACAGGTCAATCTTTTAGTATCTAGAATTCATGACGATTTTTTGAGACAAGAGAGAAGGTTGACCAAATTAGAAGCTATTGTCACGGACAAGTATTATTTCAATCTTCCATTCGAAAGTGACACTGTCTTCGATGGAAAAGACCAAATTTATAAATCAAACAAATACGGATTCAAAGCAGAAATAAAAGTGGGTTCTCTCGTAGACGGAGAACCTAAATACGTATTCGATATCGGCGAAACAGAAGCGTTTACTTTTCGAGATAATTGTCTGATTCAAATAGAGTTTCCCATGAAGGTTAAAGTCAATAAAGTAGTCTTCAAACAAACCGGTAATGCCGTCAAACATATTTCATTATTCAATGATGGTAATTTGGAAGAGAATATACGTTTGATTGATAAAAGGGATCAGGAAATTGAAACGAAAAATGGTAAATATGTAGACACCTTTAAAATGGAAGTAGAAAATGATAAGGATAACATTGGAATCAAAGATTTAGATATGATATTGGAGACGGAAAATCCACCATCAACCAACATTGTCAAAATTCCACGACGCTTACACGTGCAGTCACGAGTTTTTACGAACAACAGACTTTGAATACATAAAACTGTATTTTGTTTTAGGTGGAAAATACACCTCGATCGATGTTCATAAAAGTCAACAAGAAAGAGAGTTTATAGTAGATTTATCGTTTGCCGAAGACTCCATCCTTGAAGGTGGTGGTTATATTTTAAGAGCCAAGATAAACATCAAAAAAGAAAAACTAAAATATTCCTATCATCTTTAAGAGGACCATACGAAAAAAGAAATGTCGTTAGTACGCGTAAATGTTGTTACTTTTAATACCCGAAAATATAATAATGCTAGGCCAAACAAGTACGTTCTATATGATATTCAGTGGTTCCATTTATCGGAAATTCACTTAATTTAACGACTTAAAAAATGGAACTCGAAAGCAGACAACAATACATGATAGACAAACAAGAAGAGTTGAAAATAAAGTTGAGACAGTACAATACATGCAGGAAAACATGGAGTAGAATCGATTCTGTTTTCAAAACAGCGAGTGTAGTTCTAACGATAGGAACAATACTTGGAACGGCCGTGACTGGTGGATTAATGGTTCCTGTACTTGTCCCAACTGTATTAGCCACAATTACTGCTATTCAAACTTCATCTTGTGGCTTGATTGCTATAGGTTTCACGAGCAAAAAGAAAGCTCATTATAAAAAGAAAACGGATATCTTGAATATGTATCTTAATCAATTATCTTTTTCGAAAGATCGAGAGAAGACAAGATATAACAGTTGAAGAATTAAAAGAATTCAATGAAATTCTGGACAAATTCCTTACAGAAATATCAGCGGTCAAAATAAAGAAATAATCAAAAATATATACTTTAAAAAATATGAATAAAATCGAACACGATGATACATTGATAGAAAACGTCCTATTTTCCGATGTTATCAAGGCTATCTCTGATAAATTTAAAACATTCAAAGGACAAATTAAAATAGATGGAGAGATAGTCGAGGAAGGGAATCACAGACAATACATGTCACTCCTCGGTTTCAATGCCAAAACTTTTCAGAACATCTTTTCAAATATGGACAAAAAATCTGATGCTTCCGATTGGTATTTTACAGGAAAAATAATTTTAATGAAAGACAATTTCCAAGAAATCAAAAGATCGAGAGTTGGCAGAGGAGGAACTGATCTACTTAAAAAGATAAATGAATACGAAGGTGAAAATTGTTACATACCTACAGATGGTCACTGTTTTATCAAATGCGTCAATCGTGTTTTGAACAATGATTTAACGAGTAAATTTCAAGAATACATCAACGGGTTTTCAAAAGCAAATAGAAAAGGAGTGATGACTTGTGCTAGAATGAAGGAATTCAACAAGAAATTTAACACTTCGTTTCAAATTTATAATCCCAAAAACAGACATTTTCACCCCAGAGACGTACATGATGAATTAGATTGGGTTTTTTACTTACACAACTCGCATTTCTGTCTGATTAGAAGAAGCCAAAAAAGTTTGGGAATTCAAGAAATAGAAGACAATTACGAACAGGTGTGGAAAACGTGTAGAGACTACAACGCAGTAACACAGGTTTCACCCCTCAAACTAAACGTGCTTTCAAGTATGAGTGATGATGCGTTATTCGCATGGGATTGCGAAATGTATTCAGAAGAAGACACGCGAAGAGCAATTCCTTATGCCTGCACTTTAATTAATTTAGAAAAACTAAGAAAAAAGTTAGAAAAAGATATCTTTCTTACTGATAATGTTCCAGAAGAATTTTATGATAAACTAATGAATGTAGAAGAAATATTTGTAGGTACAGATTGTATAGATCAAATGTTGAAATATTTAGGTCAATATGATAGAAAGAGATTAATAATAATTTCTCATAACGGCAGTGGATTCGACAACTGGATCGTGCTTAAAAATTCAAAAAAACTAACGCATTGCCCTTTAAAACACCCAGAGGAATTCTATCTTTTCCTTTATCTAATCCATACACAGATGAAGATTTACAGAAAAAATGGAAAAGACAGAAAGAAATAAAGGGTAATTATTTGCAACATATTAATTTCACATGTTCCTATCAACACAAAAATCTAGTTTGGCTGCATGGGGAAATTCTTCCAATCTTCCCGCGAATTTGAGAAAGATTGCCGACGTAGATATCGCTAAATACACGCAAGACAACTGGGAGGAATTGAGACACGAATGGGAACCTTACGCCAAGAGAGACACTCTCTGTTTGGGAGCTTGTTTGATAAAATATAACCAAGTCATGAACGAAGTTGTAAACCAGAATATGTCCAATAATCTAACGGCTCCATCTTTATCTTTAAAGGGTTGGTATTATTTATATCATTACGATAAAAAAGAAAATATAGAAAAAGTTTATTCGCACACTAATCCTTTTATAAGAAATTTTATTAGACGATCTATTAAACGAGGAAGAGTTTCGGCAAATATAAAATCATTTGAAACGAACAAAATGGATGAAATTTGTAACGTAGTAAAGGAATATACAGAACTTGAAAGTAATAACATAATTGATTTATTCAAGGAATACAGTACAAGCACAAAAGACAAAACGGAGGTTCATTAAAAAAATGAAATGTACTAAACTAATGGCATTTGATGCTAACGGTTTATACGCTTCCGCCATGTCGGATTTAGACAGTGAATATCCGAGAGCAGAAAGTGGAAGACCGTATCTATCAGAAGAAGAAAAAAAATTTGTAAAACTCTAAAATAAACAAAAATTCAGACCTAGAACAGCTATTTTAACAGTGTGGTTTGAGTATCCCAAAAACATGTTTTTCCAACCGAAACCAGCTAAAGATAAAATCACTTTCACGAATAAAGAAGGTAAAAAGGAAACTGGTAACAAAATCAGGTTCAGAAATGTTTTCTGTCACGACGTTTTAACATCGGTTGATATTCAAGAAATAGTGAAAGCCGGTGGACGAATTATTAGAATATTAGATGGTATAGTATACGAAGAAAATTTTAAAACTCCACCCTATAGAGATTATATTTTAATTTTGAGAGATCTAAGAAATAAATATAAACGAGAAGGTAATATCGTGAGTAGTAATTGCATGGAATTATTAGGTAATTCCTTGTATGGTAAATCAATTCAGAAAGATATATTCACAACTAGACATTTATGGAATGAAGCAACTTTACAGGCCAACTTTGATTCACGTGTTAAAACCTATGAGAAAATTAATGATACTCAATATATTGTTGAAACAGAAATTGAAGAAAAAGAGATTACTACCGAAGATAGTAAATCTACACGACTAACACCTAGTCATTTGGGATGATTCGTTTTATCTCACTGTAAAAAAAATAATGAACAATTTCATTCACGTCATAAATGGATTTTATAAACCCGAAATATACTATACCGACACCGATAGTTTGTACATTTCATCCAACAATTGGAAAAAACTAAACAGAGCTGGATTTGGTCTCCGAAAAAGACTATTGCAAAGGTAAAAACGATTACGGTCACGGTGGAATTATATTTGGTTTATATTTAGCACCAAAAGTCAAATACAACATCGTTTTGACTTCTGATGGTGTTTTAAAAGAAAAGAAAACGTTTAAAGGTTATTCTAATGATAAGTGTAGAAGATTACGTTCAGTTAGCAAGCGGACATGATGTGTCGAATGAATTTAATAAACCATGGGAAAAAAGTTTCACCAATGGAGTAGTTATTCCAAACGATAAACAAACTAAAGTTTTTAGAAGTTATTTGTATAATGTTAAAAGAAAACCACCAAACAGCGAAGGAATTATGTATCCTTACAACGACAAAGATGAGTATAGATTTGATGAAAACTATGAATTTGGTGATTTCGATTATCTTACTAGTTGAATGACAATTTCTTGGTTGCCAAAGTCTATGAACCTGTTTTTACCGTCTTTGATTTCCAGATTTATATCTTTGAATATGAAAGAATTGACTGGTAAATAGGTTGTTTGAAACGGTTTCTCTATAATTCTGTATCTGATCGGCACCGTAAAAGTCGGTATGCTGTATATGATTTGGCGTTTGTGCTTGTTGAAAAATCCACCGTTGATCAAATTACAGTGAATGTTGATCACGTCGATGTCGTTCTCGATGTTGGCCTTGTGTGGCGCCAATGTCGATTGCGCGTATATTCGTTTATCAAACCCTAGTAACGCATTCAACGAATTTTCTACGTTGAAATAGACTTGACTGTTATTTCTCAAGATCAGTTTTATTTTGTTCAGATTCAAATTACCTTCGAATTCGATATTGTTTTTACCGTTCACGCTTCCTGCGTATTCGGATAGGTAATCGTTGCTAGTAAGCTTATGATTTTGAACGTAACTCCGTTATCCGTCGATATTTTTAGTTGATTGTTGTTTTTGTTTATTTTGTTATTTCTAATGGAATTGTAAACGGAGAAATACTTTAATCCCAGTTCGTACTGTTTATTGCGATCGAGTTCATACTCGTAGTCTAGAGACAATTTGATGTCTGATTTATTCGAGGTGATAACGAACAATTGTTCTTTATTGGACATTTTTAATGACGTTTATATAGTCTTTTTTAGTGACGATTTTTTTTTCCAAAAGCCGTTTTAATATGCCATTGACTTCATTGTATTGTCTGTCCGATCGATGACCTTCCTTCATGGCCGCTAATATTATTTCTAATCTATTAAGCAATTCTTTATTGTTGTCGGATAAAAACGTTATACCTTGTCCAGATGCCACCATATCATCGAATTCGTCTATTTCTTGTATGATTGGTGGATAATCTTCTGCATAATCATCTACCTCCTCTTCCTCAATAACTTTTGTTATATATAAATCAACTTCTTTCAATGTTCTTGTTTCGGGTCCTGACTTTCTGATCGCATGTAGAAATTTTGAGTATGCAACTAAATCCTTGTAATCGGCAATTTCAACATCCTCGCCATTCATTAAATCTCTTAATCCTCTCGTTAATGTAAATATAGAGTCTTTTGTGTCGATTTTGAATTGTGGTGAATTTCCACTAAATCTTATTCTATATCCATTAAACAATAACCCCTCATCATCAACGATTGGTGAAATACTCTTTGGTAAATCTGGGACAGGGTTTGAAAAAAGACGTTTTATATCATCTAATGTCTTAATACCACCATATTCAATCGGTGGATCTTTATGGGGTGAAGGTTCTATAGCGAGTCTCTTTTTAATATCTTCTTGACTTTTTAATATTGGTTTAAATAGAGTCTGTAGATTTTCCGTTAATCCGAGTTGTTGTAATCTGTTATTTTCAACTTGGGTCTTTATTTTATTCTTAGCTTTGATATATTCTCTATTTCTTTTTAAAATATTATTCCAATCCGTCATTTTTAAAAAAATAAAATTAACATATATCGATCATAACTCTTTCACCCGCAGGTTTTCTAGTATTTACAAATACATATCCATGATCATCTGGGTTTCTCCATTGAGCTTTACAAACCTTTTTAAATGTATCTCTATCCATTCCGTGATTTATAGACTGAATGATTTGATCATTTAATTCAAATAATAAAAACAATTTGCATTTTTTCTAATGAACATAGAATCCATCCCGTAAAAAGATTGGGATTGGTATATGCAGTGACAGTTGTGATGTCTTCCTTTGGTGAAGAATTCTTGTTGAACAGTTTGATTTCTTTGCGCTACGCAGTCGTCAAACAATATTAAGTTCTTTCGATTGCTATCAATATTAGACAAGTCTAGATCATTAACATTTTTCGTGAGAAAAACTTTTATATCCGTTGGATTGAAAGATGGATTCTTTGATTTAATGAAGTTTTCTATAATATCTTTTATAATATCAACACGATTGCTCTGGTGTTGTTGTGTAGATATACAGAGAATCGAAATCTAAAAGGTTTGGTGTTGTCAACATGTTAAAAGTGAGATGAGTTTTCCCAGAACCTGAACTACCGCAAATACACATTAGCATTGGGTTATTGGGAAATATGTCCGAATGTTTGAATTTCTTGCCCATTTTTATTTATTTACATTTTCGTACCAAAAATCACCCCGTTGCCTTTATACTTTGAAAGGAAGATTCCCTTGCCCGAACGTATATTTTTAAAAAATATGGCGTTGCCCTTGTGTTTGACATTCATTTCTCCAGTGTCGATTTTATCTATTAATTTGCTTAATCCCTCTTTAACGGTTTTCTTGGTTTCTTCGCCAAATCTTTGTCCGAATTCTTTAACCGTCCCTAATATATCTCCTACTCCCGAACCTCCTCGTGCTTCTCTTTCCATTGCCAAATTGTGTCTACGTGCTTCGGCGTTTGCAACGGCTTTAGCTTTCTTATCGTTGACAACTTTGGCTATCCCAGCAGCTCCACCAGCAGCTGCACCAGCTTCAGCTAAACCAGCAAAGATTAAAGGTAAGAAAGGTAAAAATCCACCCTTTTTAGTTAAATTCTCATCAATTCTTTCCAAGTCTATATCATCTCTGACTTTGCAATGTTTGTATTTATCGATAATCTTTTGGGTTATATGCACTTTTTTACCGTTGTAACTTATAAGAGTCGGCGAATTCGTTTCGATAGCTTCTATTATTTTCATAACTAAAGTTTCTGGTTTCATTTTTAAAGGGTGTTTTTTTATTCAATTCTTATCAATCTTCTATCTGATATTTTAATCAAATGTTTTGCTTCTTCCAGCAATAAACAGTAGCCGGTTACATCTCCTTGTGTAATATCGATGTGAATATTTATGTTTACCCCTGTTTTGAAAAGATCCTCTTGATGAGCTGACAGATCGAAACAAAAGATTGGATGATTGAGTGAAAAATCTGTGTATTCAAACTGAGGCGTATTTTCAAACAATTCGCACATGTTTTTATAGTTTCTGTACAATTCGTTGTAATCTTTTTTGGAAGGATCAATTGTCAAAGGTTGATTGGGATAATTATCGTTGTTCAATCTGACTTGAACTTTGCGAATGATGGGATCTTGAGTAAGGTTCAATGCCACTCTGAAAATGTTGTTGTTTGTCTGAGAGTCTGGCAAGTTTTTGAAACCGACCATTAGATATCTCGCTGGTTTGACGGTGTTGGTGATTGGCCACGTGGTGGATTCTCCCGTTAAAGTCATGCTACCTATCGTGTTACGACGAAGAAAAGCAATTTCGATCTCTTTGGTTAAAGAGTTGAATATTCTCGTTTCCACTTCTACGGAAGGAGTGATTACCGGTATGTAAAGTTGGATATTCGTTATTTCCAATTTTGCGTCAGAGTTGTTTTCACCAAAGAATATATTGTTGTCGTTGATTTCTCTTTGCAAATGAATTTTATACGGCAAACCTATGGAAACCTTTCTGTGTTCCAAGAGACCAAATAAAGGATACAACTTCCAATTTACGTAATTACCCCATCTGTTGTTCTCGACAACATTGTTGTATTGAAGCGCTCGTTTTTCAAATCCGTGATTTACTCCGCGAGTCACTCTTTCCAGTGTGTTTCTAGCAACTACCCTTATCCTAGCAAGGTCTGCGTCATTTGCTACAGTTTTGACCGGTTCTTTTAACTTCTCCGTCACCGACATCGGGAATCCATCCCGAAACTGAATCGTAGTTTTTGGGATACATAACCGTTTTCAACATTGTGTCAAACTCGCCGGGGTGTTTTATGGTCTCTATCGGATTTGAACCAGCTTCCAAAACCATTTCGCTGAATAAAGACGGAAAGAAGTTGTTTTCTAAAGTCGTGTTGGTTTGTGGAATTCGATTCTGAGTGGCGTCTTTGATTTTGAAATCGCATCGGAAATGGGCATCGGAAAGCAGCAACCAATTGGACAACGAATTAATTTCAAAGGTAACTCTTCCTCCGTCGTTTATTTGGGTCTTTGTCCCTACCGAAGGTGAGATGATTACGTAATCCTCTTTTTATCCATTTTTATCCAATGATTTTAAACCCTTTTCCTTGTTTTTCTAGGGCTTGTCGTTCTAGTCTCTTGTTTCTTAGTTCTCTTATTAGCTGTAGTTCTTTAAGTTCGTCAGATTTTTCACTGCATCGCTTATATTTACTCCTGCTTTTGCCACAGATCCAAGAGCTTGCGCTTCTGAGGAAATGAGGGATTTGTTGTTTGAGACAAAGTTGGCCACTTTGGGGATGGGAGATGTTAGCGCAGAGAAGGAACCGTCTGGAATAGAGACAACATTACTGTCGAAATAGAAATTAGAGGCTGGAATATAGACAACTGTCGAAATTGTAATCAGAGACTGGAATAAAGACAACTGTCGATATAGTAATCATAGACTGGAATAAAGACAACTGTTGAAATTGTAATCAGAGACTGGAATAAAGACAACTGTCGAAATAGTAATCAGAGACTGGAATAGAGACAATTGTCGAAATAGTAATCAGAGACTGGAATAGAGACAACTGTCGAAATAGTAATCAGAGACTGGAATACAGACAACATAACTGTCGAAATAGTAATCAGTGGCTGGAATAGAAACAACTGTCGAAAAAGTAATCAGAGATTGGAATAAAGACAACTGTCGAAATAGTAATCAGAGGCTGGAATAAAGACAACATTACAGTCGAAATAGTAATCAGTGTCTGGAATAAAAACAACATTGCTGTCGAAATAGTAATCAGAGACTGGAATAAAGACAACTGTCGAAATAGTAATCAGAGACTGGAATAAAGACAACTGTCGAAATAGTAATCAGAGATTGGAATAAAGACAACTGTCGAAATAGTAATCAGTGGCTGGAATAAAGACAACATTGCTGTCGAAATAGTAATCAGAGGCTGGATTAGAGACAACTGTCGATATAGTAATCAGAGGCTGGATTAAAAACAGCTGTCGAAATAGTAAAAAGGGCCTGGATTAGAGACAACTATCGATATAGTAATCAGAGACTGGAATAGAAACAGATATTTTAGACTAATATCTTTACGAGTCTACTCCCGAGAAGAAGGGCAAGTAAATTCTAGCATTGAAAATGCTCTGCAAGTGACAATATGTTCTTGAAATTGGTTCCAAAGACTGATTACTGACTATCCAGAAGCGTTTTAACGAAATTGTGTAAGGTACGTTCCTTCATTATTTCAATTGTGTTTATTTGTGACAAAAGAAAATTTTTTTAATAAAGAAAATGGGAAAGAAGAAATTCTTTATTTTGCTTATCAATTATGTGTGACTCTTAACAGATATCCGATATGTTTGAAGAAAAATATAGATTAAAACGTACCAAAGTTTTTTTGAAAGTCATTATAATTAGACTTTCAGTAAATTTTAGTAAATTTTCACTTCACTTCTAAAAGAGGTTAAAGCCGTCCAACAGGGTACGATATAATTTATATCAATTAGATTTCTGTTAATGTTCATTATTGATCATATTATTTTGTATCCGGTAAACAGAAACAACATGAATGACCTCTTATGAAAAACAAATCTATATCTGAACAGAGTTAAATTGTCGTTAATAACAATATTGTTGTCTTCAAATAATATACGAGAATCTAAATTTCTCTAACTTGTTGGCCAGTTTTCGTTCGATTTTAAATCTTTGCATAAAACTTCTTAGCAGCACGACCAAAGGCTCCGGAATAATTCATATCAGAATTCTGAGATAAATAGTGTTGAATGTTGCATTATCTAGTCTATCATCTTTCCAAATATCTGTTGAGCCGAATAAGTTACCACGTGTACACTGTGGGTTAGTCATTGAAAACCACCCACCTGCCGCCATCTTGTTTGGGCAATCATTTGGTGTGGTATCGTTATCGAATGTAGAAAACGGAGCATTATTTATATTGACCGAATTTGTCCACGAATCTGAACAGATTTCAGTAGAATGAGATGTGAAACCGGATACTTGTAGTTTGAACTGGTCAGAGACATCCATAACAGAAAACTGGTTGTAGTAACATTGAGCGGACAGTCCAGTATAGAAATATATATTCAATCGAAAATTATTTCTTTCTTTACTCATCTGATAAAATTTATCCAAACCGATCCAATGACTTGTACTAGCATCACCAAATCCTTGTCGATATTCTGAATATGTTCTGTTATAGTAATCAGGAATGCAACTAGAATGTCTAGTCAGAGCATGTGCTATTCCAAGATAATCAAAATGACATAAGATTTCAAACGGTTCTGGAGATAAGCTTGGTTTTACAAAAGACAACATCTGACCCAAATGTGACCAGTTAAGTTCGTGACCATGGGAACAATCTGGAAATACAAATACACAAATCTGACACACACTTTGTTCTTATGCACTTTATCAATTCCTTCCTGAAGTTACGATTTATAGCCTAATATTGATGCATTAAAGTAATATTACCAATTTTTCAAACACTTAAAGGTTTGAGTCATGGAATTAAAAAGTGAAAGGCCACTTAATCGTCATGTCATACTGGCTCAAATCTAGGTTATTAAATTTTGGGGTTGCAAATAGGATGACAAACCTGTTATGATATGTTCACAGTTATTTCCATAGTAACCAATAGGACAAAGACATGTGCCGTTTTCACAAGTTGATATCTGTAATATAAAAATTATTTTCTATTTTCATTAACGATTCGTACGAATATGTGCAGGTGAATCTACCGAGGGATGTATATCACATGCAAGTTGTCTATGAAATCATTTATTTTAGCTACTGTTTCCATTTCACATGGCGTTTAAATGTGTTTATCCACTATTATATTCGATCTCAGTAAGTATAAAATATAGATCGACAGGAAATAGAATTCTACAGCTATATTGAAACAAAAATATATTTTAAAGTATGAAAATCAATTTTCACCATCTTAATTTTCCAATATATTGATTAATATTAAAACATATCAATGCATTGTGATGTGTTTATAATAGGGTAGGGAGTAGGGAAATTATTTTCATCTGTTAAAAGTATGACTCGTTCTTCAAAGTTTCTATATATGACATAATAGGACTAACTGCTGTATACTGATAAAGATTACAAGTGTCAAATTTGGCCTAAAATTATATTGATGGCTCTTTTGCCGTCTTGGTCTTCGCAGTTTGCCTTTCATACAACAACTACTAAATACTTGGCGAAATACCTTCAAATTATGATTCATCTAAACGTTTAAATCGGGTTCAAAATATTTTAGATATGAATAGATAAAAAATAAAGTCAATGAATAAATACAAACAAATTAAGGTTGATACAGATACATTCTAGCAGTCGGCTCATTAAATATTGAGTTTTTATTTACGATTTCGTTATTTTAATTGGTAACTCATGTTTTCTCACATAAAAACTATTGACCATTTTGATCAATAAATAATTGAAGTCTGCGACCTAGAATTAAAGTAACCATTTATTTTCTGTCGATACCATATCGGTCGCCTATTCTGTATACAATTGTTCCACGAAAATAAGCAGAGACTAATTTCCTGCTTTCTTAATGACCAAATCTTGTAATTTGCTTTTACTCTGATTTAAAAAGACGTTTTGTGGAATACGATAGTACACTATTATATATATAATCAAAATGAAAGGAAACATTGTTAAGTAAAAAGCTCAATGGATTGGGGAAGGGGAAAAACCCTCGAAATATTTGTGTAGCCTGGAATCTAGAAACTATTACAATAAGATAATAAAAATGGCCAAACAATTACAACCAAAACTGAAATAATTAAAGAGACACAACTTTTTTTATCAAAATCTATGCGAAGAAGGATTATGATACAGACCAAAATTATCTCATGCAAAAACTAGGAAAAGTAAATTTTAATGTACTATCAGACACTGAAGCAGACGAACTTGAGGGGGAAATAAAATCTGACGAAGCATTGGCCTTCCTGAAAAACATGATCGAAGCCCTGGCTCTGACGGATTTCCGACATAATTTTTCAATCTTTATTGGATTGACTTGGGTAACCTTATTGTTAGAGCTAAAAACTACTCCTACAGTATAAATAAAATGTCGGTTGTTCAACAAATAGGCATTATTACATGCATACCTAAACCAATTAAACCAAAGCAATACTTAATAAACTGGCGACCCTTAACTCTTTTGAATACAATATACAAAATAGCATCGGGAGTGACAGCAAACAGAATCAAAAATACTTGAACAAAATTATAGGCCCAGACCAGACTGGCTTCATAAAAGGCAGGTACATAGCGTCGCCGTCCCGTGAAAACCTTGTATCTACATTTTAGGTGTTTTCACTTTTTGATTGAATTTTATTCAGAATTGAATTCTCCACCCTATGATAAATCTATGTAACTGCAAACCCAATTAAAACACAAGAAATTAACATGTGACAGCATGTATTGGTCAATGATTCTATTATATGAAAACCTTGTATCTGCAGATTTTTTTACATGGTAGTTGCTGCTTTTTTCCTTTATCCCCAACTAATGACTAAACAAACTACAGGTAATAACCAAATTGATACGATTTCCTTTTTTATCTATAGATCTGTACCTTACTTCACTTATTAAATAAAATTTGACATCAAATTCATACAGTTTTTCTGCAAAAATTCATGAATTTTGACACTTGGAAGATACGTGTATTTCCTCAGCAATATTCAACAGTTTAAGTAGACACGTGTTTTTCAAAGAACAACAGTTCTATAACTTTTTATTTAAAAGATGTAATATTTGGAAATAAACGGTTTTCTTTGATTTAAATGTAAAAGGATCACAGATATCATTTCATTCATTTTCAGGCAGAAAATAAAATGTCTACAGATATAACATAAGAAGGGTTATGCGATATTGTTAACATATCATACAATCCAAATGATTTTGGTGATACGGATCCTTACTATACTTCTGATGAAGAATTGGAAGTCCGACCCGTCATTGAATTTGAAAAGAAAGATGAGATTGCTGATCCTCAAGACGAAAGAGCGATAGAAATTGAAAGAGCTGTAGAAATTGAAAACGTTATTGAAGTTGATAAAGTTATAGAAGTTGATAAAGTTGATAAAGTTATAGAAGTTGATAAAGTTGATAAAGTTATAGAAGTTGATAAAGTTATAGAAGTTGATAAAGTTATAGAAGTTGATAAAGTTATAGAAGTTGATAAAGTTATAGAAGTTGATAAAGTTATAGAAGTTGAAAGAGCCATAGAAGTTGAAAGAGCCATAGACGACACCATTAAGGGAAAGGCAGCTAAACATACGAAAATCTGTACAAGCCTTTCTTGAAAAACTACCCCAGGTACCCTCCCACTACTGTAGAGCATCATCATCCAAACTTTACCTTGAACCACAGTTTATATCTTTGTCGCAATTGTATGATCTTTATAAAGAAGATTGCACAGAGCAAGATTTGAATGCAGCATCTCGTCAAATTCTTTCAGATGAATTCCATAAGAAAACCTTGAGTTTGTATCGGCCGCGTAAGGATCAATGTGATACATGTTTCTCCTATGAAAATGGCAACCTTACAGAAGAAGCGTATACTCTACATAGAAAAGCCAAAGACGTGGCAAGGGATGCCAAACAGGCCGATAAGGATATTTGTAAACAAGAAACCAACAAAACTTTGGTCAACACCATGGATATGCAAGCGCTTCTACTATGTCCTAGATTGGAAGCATCCGCTTTATATTATAAAAGCAAACTCGGAGTTCACAATTTTACTATGTACAATATGGGTAATAGTGAAGTTGTTTGCTATATATGGCATGAAGGGGAGGGGGGCCTTGGCTCAAATGAGTTTACATCATGTATTATAGATTATATACAGAGTCAAGATCAGTATGATACCATTATTTTGTGGAGTGATGGGTGTGGGTACCAAAACCGAAACGTTGTACATGGAAACGCTTTGTTAAATTTTGCTAAAGTTCACAAAAAAAACGATCATTCAGAAATATTTAGAAAAGGGTCACACCCAGATGGAAATTGATGCGGCCCATTCTATTATAGAAAGGAAGTTGCGAAACCAAGAAATTTACTGCTCAGCTCAATATGTAACAGCCATACAATCCGCCAGAAAGAATCCAAGTGCATTTAAAGTGCACTACCCAATTGTGTTATCGAAATGTCAATTCTTTTTTTTTTTTTTTTTTTTTTTTGGGGGACTTTGCTTTCAGCAAAGTCCCAGTTTGTTATCGAAATGTCTATTCTTTTTTTTGTGGGACTTTGCTACGGCAAAGTCCCAGTTTGTTATCGAAATGTCAATTCTTTTTTTTTTTTTTTTTTTTTTTTGTGGGACTTTGCTTTCAGCAAAGTCCCAGTTTGTTATCGAAATGTCTATCTTT